ACCAGAGATAAACAGGGACATTTTCATTAAATGTCCATTCATTAACCAAGAAGACACAACAATAAATGTGTATGCATCTAACAACAGAAATTCCAAACACACAAAGCCAAAACTGGTATGACTGAAAGGAAAAACAGACAAATCTACAATTGTAGTTGAAGACTTCAAAACTCCTCTCACAGTAAAGAAATAGGATGAGTGGACAAGACATCAGCAAGGAGAACCGAGCAGTACCATCAACTGGATCTTAGTGACATTTGTAGAGCACTGAATCCATCAACAATAATATACACATTTTTTCAAAGAATCTAGGAACATTCACCAATGTATACAATATTCTATGTCATAAAGCAAATCTTAACAAATTTAAAAGAATTGAAACCATAGCAAATACATTCTCTGACCATAATGAAATTAAAGTAGAAATTAAAAAGTTTTAGTATTAAATTTTAATTTATTTATTGTGTTTTTTACTTTATCCCTTTATATAAATTTTTTTAGTAGCTGCTATTGAAATTATAAAATACTTTTCATGTTCTACTGTGACTAATATTTTACCACTTCAATTGGAATCTATACTACTGCCAGGGGTAGTGGCTCACACCTGTAATCCCAGCACTTTGAGAGGATGAGGTGGGAGGATCGTTTGAGACCAGGAGTTTGAGACCAGCCTGGGCAACATAATGAGACCCTGTCTCTACAAAAAAAATTTTTTTAATTAGCTGAGTCTAGTGGTGTTCGCCTATGTTCGCCTACTTACTTAGGAGGCTGAGGCAGTAGGATGGCTTGAGCTCAGGAGTTGGAGGTTGAAGTGAGCTATGATTGTGCCATTACACTCCAACCTGGGCAACAGAGTGAGGCCTTGACTCTTAAAAAAAAAAAAAAAAAAAAAAAGCCCTACTACCTTTTCCCTCCCCCAGTTATGTTCCAGTTATCTTGTATGTTACATCTACATACATTGAAAACCCCATCAGAATATATTATATTTTTTGCTTTCCTAAGACCAAACATCTTCTAAAGAAAGAGGACATCCATTTCTCTGCTCTTTATTCCTGATGTTCCTAGTTCCCTTCTGGTATTAATATTATTTCCTCCTCTTTGAAGAACTTCCTTTAGTAATTCTTTTACAGCAGCTCTGTTTCTGCTAGCTTTCCTTCATCTGAGAATGTCTTTATTTCACCTTCATTCCTGAATAACATTTTGATATCACGATATCATTCCTGGATGACATTTGCTAGATACAGAATTCTAGTTTGATGATTTATTTCTTCTAGCACTTTGAACATGTTATGCCACTGTCTTCTGGCCTTGATGGTTTCTGATGAGAAATCCACAGTAATTCAAATCATTGTTACCCTATAGTTAATGCATAATTTTTTTCCTTCCTGCTTTCAAGATTTCGTCTTTAGCAAGTTTGGTAATGATGTGTTTGGATGTGGATTTCTTTGGGTTTATGTTGTTAGGGTTCTACTCAGCTTCCTGAATCTGTAGGTTTCTTTCTTTCATCATACTTGGAATAGTTTTAGTTATTATTTCTTCAAATACTTTTCCATCCATTCATTCTCTGTTCTCTCTTTCTGGAACCCTAATGGCACAACCCTTTTATTGTCTTACAGGTCCCTGAGGAGTCATTTGTATTTGCATCTTTTTTTCCCTCTTCGTTGCTCAGATTGGATAATTTCTTTTGCTCTATGTTCAGTCACTGACTCTTTCTTCTTAACATCTCCATGCTGCTGTTGAGTCCATACAATGAGCTTTTTACAAATTTTGGTTATTATATTTTTAATTCTAAAATTTCCATGTGATTCTTCTTTATATTTTCTAATTTTTTTCTTTTACTGACACATTCTATTAATATTTTAATACTTGTTTCAAGAGTGATTGCTTTTTTTTTTAGCATCTTTATAATAACACTTTAAAGCGTTTGTCAGATAATTCCAACATCTCCATCATTTTCTCGTCCTCCATTGTCTTTTTTCATGTGAGTTGAGATTTTTATGGTGGTTTGAATTTTATCCTGGCCATTTTATATATTACATTATGAGACTCTGTCTTGTTGAAACCCTACAGAGAATAATTGACATTTTTGTTTTAGCAAGCAATTATGCTGGTTAGATTCAGGCTGTTGGTTGGAACTGTAATGTCAGTGTCAGATCAGTTTCAAAGGTTTTGCAGTTCTATGTGGATCTGTGTGGTGTGTCCCTCCCCCCAGGGGTCAGTTTGGGATGTGGGCAGAAAGTTATCTGTTAGCTCAGTTCCTTGAGTCTTTGGTATGTATGCTATTAGGATCAGTTCCAGGCATGCACAGGCTGGGGATGAGCCCAGGAGTTCACAGACAGTTTCATAGGATCCTTTTCCTAAGCTCTTCCTGATGTATTATCTCCCCAGTACTTTCTGGTTCCCTGGCTCTTCCATTTTCTGCCTGGCCAGAAACGTAACACTTCCACAATTATGCCACACCCAGGCCAAACACTAGGAAAATAGAGAAAGAAAAGAGCTTGTCGCCACTGCCACTGCAGAATGGCCTGGGGCAAAAAAAGGAATGAAAAAAAACCTGGAGTGTTTTATCTGCTCTCTATGCGCTTTGGGGAGTCCCCTTCCCCTCCCTCAGGCTGGGTTTCTCTTGGAGTTTTCTGTCTGCCCCACAAAGATCATGTCTGGAGTTTGGGTTTGTTGACTTCAGGCTGGGAAAGAAGTACTAAACTCACCATGAGTTTTACTGGCGTTTTGAATTCAGTGTCTGCCCCCAATCTGCCTGTTGCTATTACTTCTCAGTGTTCTCCGTAGCCGTGCTGTGAACTCTGTCCAGGCGTTTTTGTTGAGAGTTGGGGTCTTGCTCTGTCACCCAGGCTGGAGTGCAGTGGCCCAATCATACCTCACCATAAACTCAAACTCCTGGGCTCAACTGATCCTCTTACCTCAGCCTCCTGAGTAACTAGGACTACAGGCGCATCAACATGCCCAGTTAATTTAATTTTTTTTTTTTTTTTTTTTTTTTTTAGCAACAGGTTCTTGCTGTGTTGTCCAGGCTGGTTTCAAACTCCTGGCCTCAAGCGATCCTACTGCCTCAGTCTCCCAAAGTGCTGGGATTTGCAGGCATGAGCCACCTTCTCTGGCTTGTTCAGGTTTGATAGTTGCATGCAAAGGGAGAGAAATGGTGGCGTGTGTTTTCATTGTCTTACCCAAAACTGGAACCTCTGATTGATATGCTTTCAAAATATTATTTTTCTAATTAAAAATATATCCTTATATACAAGACAACAGTTGATGTTATTAAGAGTTCAGTTAAGCAGCTAAATCACATGGTTTTCAGTTAATTCTTTCAGCTTTGTTTACGTCTACATCCGTGTCAGCTGCACATGATACTATTTGGGTCTCTTCCTTTGATCCCGTAATTCTCACCATGTTTTTCTATTTGCACCTTCTCACCAGCCTTGTCGGGGAATGTGGTCTTGTCATTTCTTTGCAACTTGTGGGTGCTTTCCTGGGAGCACAGCCTCTGCCCACAACCCTGCAGCAGGGCTGGTCAGGGGCGGTGAGCCTGGAGGTAGCTCCGCTGGGCGCTCCGAGGCAGTTCCGAGGAAAACCAGGTGGGAATCTTCACCCAAGAACCCTGATGTGGAGCACACACACCTTCAGTATAAGTTTGTGCCTACTTCAGACATAATTGAACTACAGCTGACATTTTCAGAAAGTAGTCTTTTTAACTCAAGTTGGGTGTAAATTTCAGAACACATTTACATGCAGCTCTTTTAAGATGCAGATCTTTGCAAAAATCACACCTGATGCCCGTTGAACTGGCAGTGGGAGAGGATTTCAGCGGAGGTGCAGGTTTATTCACGTGTAATTCGGAGTTCACGTGGAGGGTTTGTTACCCCTCTGACCTTCCTATCATTATGAGTGATTGGCTAAGAAATGTTCAGCCTCTTCTGGAGAACTGGGGAAATAATAATCCGGCTTGGGTTGCTATGATCAAAGCCAGTTGAGGCCAGGCTGGCTCCAGCTTCATGGCGGGGAGAGAAGCAGGCTGTGTGTGAACTCCTGCAGCAGCCTCTTAATTTCACTGAGCCTCCGCTACCTCATATATAAAACATGCCACACACTTACCTTGCAAGGTAAGAGAAGAATAAATGAGAAAACATAGAGGAAACTGCAGAGCCTTCTGAAATGTAAAGTGCCATATTAGTGTTTATTATAAAAATTTTAAACTAACAATCAAAGGCAAAAATAGGATGTGAATGATGACTTAAGAGGAGAAAGTCTAATAGTAGAGTCAAAGATTCATTCCTCAAGCCATCTCTGCTCCGCCTCACAGGACGTGGGCTGGTTTTATGGGGCGGGGAGAGGATGAATTACAAGGTCTCTGAGGGCTGGAGCTAGGTAAATCCCCATCTGAGCCCCTTCCAGTCCTGAGAGTTCATGACTCCGTAAACAGGTGCCACAGAGTCAGGGATGTCCAAGGATATCCTGCCCCTTCTCCAGGACTGTGGTGATTAGCGTGGGCGCACTTCCTGGGGTTTGGTTATTAGTCCCTCTTATCCCAGCCCCCCCCCCAGGTCTCCAGGCACCCGGGATCATGATCCTTCTGCCCACTTGAAAGAGATCGTGTGGGCTCAGGGCCCCAAGGACAGATTTCCAGTTACTAGCCAGCCCCACAATGTCCCAGCTTTGACAACGTAGTTTTGCTTTAACTGGAAAGTTCAGGCTCCCAGACCCAGAGCCTCCTGAGGGACCACGTGGGGCACCCCGTACTGGCCATCCCCAGCCCCAACAGACTCCCTCCTGCCCCCCTAAGAGTCACCAGCATCTTGCCTCTACCCCCCATGGCCAGTGAATTCCTATGGTCAGCAGCACCCTGGGGGGTGGGGTAGAGGGGGTTGCCCGCCCCCAGTGCTCCGCGCAGGCAGCACTGTGTGGCCTGACACTCAGGTGCCCATCCTGCGGGGTATGACTCAGGGATGGGCAAGCTGGTCACTTCCTTCTCCCTCCCACCCTTGCAGATCACCTCCAATGAGCAACACCTGGAGAGCCTCAAGAGCGAGGGCTGCCTCCTGCAGGCTCTGGAGCAGCTGGCCCCGGCTAGCGGGTGAGTGGGGCCCCGGGGAGCAGGACAGAGTCTGCTGTCACTCTCAGCCGTTGCTTTCTCCACCCCTCTCCAGCCTCCCAATCTCCTCCACACCGGGGACCTCCACCTTCCAGCCTGTCATTGCCCACTGAGGTCCCTCCCAGTGTGGGAAGGGATGCTCTGCCCCTCCTCCCACGGGCGTCCCCTGCGGTGAGGGAGGGGACGGAGTCAGCAAGGGAGAGAAGGTGTGAGTCTTGCCAGGGTAAAGAACATCTCACCTTGAGGCATCTGAGGAGGTTGAGCAGATGATGACCAGGTGGGAGGGGTAGTGAACCTCATGAGAGAGGCAGCACGTGGCCTGTCCACACTTGCCCTGCCCTCCCCAGCCCCCCAGCGGCTGTGTCCTTATCACTGCCTTGTGGAGCACCAGCAGGTGGGGTGGGGCTGGGCAGGGCACCAGCAGGGGGAGTGTGGGGGCGGGGCAGGGCTGACAGGAGCCTGCTCTGCAGCCCCCCAGGCTGCCTTCCCTGCCAGATCTGCGACCACACACAGCAGAGTACTTGACAGCCGGCAGTGTGGGGTTGGGCCAGCCTCCTAGTCCTCGGCTGTACACTCAGTGTGTCTGGAACATCCTAGAAATGAGATCCACAGACCAGGCCTGTCACCCCGGAGCAGGTGTACGCTGTGAAGGCAGGCACTGGCCTCTCAGCCAGCCCCACGGTGACGGTGACACTGACACTCCGAGGAGAGGGAGGGAGAGGGAGGGAGGGAGAGGGAGGGAGGGCCCCCCGGGGTGGGTGGGGGAGGGGGGCGGTTCGTCCCACAGTGACATGCACCCCCTCCCCCATAGGACTTGCGAGGTGGTGGCAGGTGGTAGGAGTGAGGCTTACAGATTTTTCCATTCTCATCCAAAGTGTCAAGTGACCGAAGAAAAATTACATGGGACTAAAGAGAAAGTCGCCGCAGGTCTCCAACTCGAGGCAGCCGGTGGCGGATAATTGGCTTGTGTGTGTGTGGCAGCGCCGGAGCCGGCTGCAGGCGGGGGCTCAGTGAACGCAGTTACACCTCCTCCCTCCGGCCACTGTCCCCAGAGCTGAGGGAGGTGGCTGGAAGTTGTGGCCTGAGCCCCGGCGGCTCTCCCCACCCTGGGGCGGGGAGGACCCAGCTCCCAAGGGTGCCTGACCTTCACTGGACCTAGAGCGGGCCTGCCATTTCCTGGTGATTTCTGATCTTCTCAGAGCTGTAGCGTTCTGCGACATCTGCTTCCGGGTGTGTTTTGGGTTTGGTATTAATTTGAAGAGAAAGTTTGCGGCTGAGGCATGTTAAGGTGGTGAGCCTGCAGAGAAGGCACAGTTCCAGCCAGCCTTTTGCGTTTCATCCTGGGTGGGGTGGGGGAGGAGGATGCCGTCCCTCCTCACCCTTTCCTCTAGCTTAAACCAGAGGAGTAAGCTCTTCTTCGCGGTCTTCCGTGAGGTGAGGTAAAGGAGAGCCTGGCTTGCACTGCAGGGGCCCCGTGTCACCTTGCTGGGCCCTGGGTGTAAGGCCTGGACAGTGACTCCCTGGGCTGGACTCCGGGCCCCCACTAGCCTGGTGTGTGAGGAGCAGGTGGCCTCCATGCCCAGGGTCCCGGCCCTGTGCGAAACGCTGCAACAAAGACACCCCAGGCAGCTTTGTGCCGAGGAGGGGATGGGGAAGGCCACGGAGGAGTGGAGTTTGACAGACAGCTCCTCTTCTGCGCTCACACCCGGTGCTGCAGCATCCGAATGTCTACACCGGGCAGATCCTGTGCTGGGTGGGGAGGTCACCACTGCCAAGTTGTCTCATTTGGGCTTTGTTCGCATGGCCCAACCAGAAAGGGTTTTCTTGTGTCAACCAGGAACGCGTGGACGGCAGTGCCCCGGGTTCTGAGGGTAGCTGGTCTGCGGTCCGTGCCAGCCCCCTGGGGCCGCTCCGGTGGGCGGGGCCCCACCAGACTCGCCTGGCCTCGCCAGAGGCGGAGTTCAAACGCATTCCGAGTCCCCAGGGCCTTTGATGCCCAGAGCAGGAATGCATGGCACCGCCTCCCGCTCAGTGGCAGCCCCACTGCCACCCGTGTCTTTTATGCAGCCCCCCCTCACCCCACCCGTCTGTTTGGTAACAGCTCTATTTCTGTGCAGTCAAGAGGGTGCCACAAGCTAATTTTACACTTCAAGGGTCACTGCTATGTGTCGGTCTTTTCTTTACCAACAGTTGTTAAGGCACAGGTTTAAACGTGTTTCAGACAATCTGCTCCAGTAACAAAGTTTCCATTTTAAGCTCTTAATTGTACATCCACGCCAATGAGAGCAAGAAGCCCAGAGCTGCCACGGGCCGGGAAGTGGCACCATGGGGCAGCGAGTGGCAGCGTGTGGAGTGGGTCTGGGACACTCACGTCAGCTCCTGCAGGCCCAGGGAGGGCCCCAGGGCCGGGTGGGGACTGGTTGCTGACCGGCTGACTTGCCCGTATGGCGCAGTCGCAGTCTCCTGGCAGGGCTGGCTCAGATGCTGAGTGGTGGCCACAGCCAGGACCTCAGGCCTGGCTTAGGGGGGCCGCCATGGCCAGTTCTGAGCCCACCTGGACTGCGGGCTGGGGTTCTCACCTCACAGCCCTGGAGCCAGGGTTTCCTGCCAGTTTTACCCTGGCAATGCCGTTTAGCGTCTCTCCTTTGCTTTTGTCCTCACAGTTCGTCCGCCGACAGTGTTGTGGCTTCCTTAGCCCTGGAAATCCTCAAGCTGCTGGGCACTCGGCAGGAAGGCACTTAGCACAAGCCCACCGTGTGGCCCCAGCCCGGCTGCACGGGCAGGGTCGGCTCCCAAGCACACTCACCACGTCACCACCCACAGCTGTATTTGGACCTAATAAAGTCAGCTGAACCCAGAACCTGCCAGCTTAAGTGCTCTTACTGACGCGGGGGCCTAGGAAACCGGCTCAGAAGGGACTGCCTCGGTTCCTGTGGGATGCATCTTGGGGACCCCAGGTTTGCTGCCTGTTCTCAGAAACGTCCTTTCGCTCTGTGTGGGCCAGGTAGGCCTCCTCCGAAGTGAGCACTGCCTGTGCTAACAAAGTGGACGAGAAGCACAGTCCTCAGCCTGCCGGCGTCTGTGAGCACCTCTCTCCCTGGAGAGAAGCAGAAAGGCAGGACCAGGCAGGAATGCTCTCCCAACCACAACTCCAAGGCAAGCCTGGCTTTTTTCATTTCAGGGACAGACTGATTCCAAGAATCCTGGGGAGGACTAGGGTAAGACTCACCAGCATAGACTGTTAAAAGTTTGCCTGGGAATACAAAACGCTCAAGGAACACTGGCTTCCTTGAAGGTCTGTCCACCCAGATTGGATGATGGCATCAAGGTAGATTCATTCCCAACTTTTACCTCCTAACCCCTTACCCTTGAAATCTTTCCATCTTCTGCCTCATGTTCCCTCATACAGATGCCCGAGAACCTCCTATGTAAGAGTCCAGACAGTATTTGGCGGATGCTGGGACTGTGGTACTGGGGAAGGCTTGCTCTCGAACTCTGGACTGGAAGGTAGGGGTGAGCCTGGGTAGCTCCAAGCAGATGAGTAAAGTGAAGTCATCCCTTGGCCTCTCTGGGGACTCCTTTTCCCCATCTGCAAAATGAGAGGGCTAGGCTAGACCAATGCATGCTAACCCTCTCCCAGGACCAACGCTCTGTGCTTAAGAGAGGGCATTTGCCCCGTAACAAACACTGCCCAGATTGATTCTGTCCCAGGCAGCAGCCACCAGCTAGTGGAATGGGTGGGACAGCAGAAGTGGTAGCCTTGTAGACCCACAGATGGCCCCATCTACGGCATCATGGGAGACTGGTCATACTGTCACCAGCAGCCCTACTTTGACACAGTGATCTGGGGGGGTTGCCAATTTCCATTTGGCTTTACAGTGAAAACAGCTCTGTGCACAACCGCATGGAAGGCCTGTGTGTCAATTACCTGACAATCTACACCACAGCCTGCAAATCTGGCATTCTTAGCTTCATTCACAGATGAGAAAACAAGCTCACAGGAGCTGTTCCATTGCCCAAGGCCTGTTTACTCGCTTGGAGCCTGGACTCTGACTCCATGGCCTATGTGTGTCCCCCAGTGAGATGTTCAGAGCTTGAGCTGTGAATCATTGGGGTGTTAAGAGTGTGTCCCACCCGGGAACAAGCAGATTCATTTGGCCTTTCATAGCCTACTTACTGCCCAGGGTGAGGAGGCTCCACTATTTAAGTCCTCTGGCGAAGTGCCCGTCCCCAGGCTGGGTACATCCACATGGCCTTGGTCTGGCTGGATAGCCTGTTTCTGGGAGTGAGGGGAGCAGCTGATGGAGCCAGAGGCCTGGATTTCAGCTCAGTGGCTTTGCCTGCCAGACCCAAGAACAGGCACAGGTCTCCTTGCGTTCCCTGCCTTCTCCCTTCATTCACTTCTTCAGGGAACTGCCCTGGGGTTCTGGGCATAGAGTCCTCCCAGAATGTATTTTAGAACAATGGAATATTCTTCTTCCTTCTTTTCCCTTTTCAGCTGAGCAGGGAGGACTCTTTGCTATTTAACATAAAACAGGAAGGTTTTAACATTCTGGAACCATTTTGTCGAGTGTACCACTCCTGTTCCTGAGACCCACAGCACTGCCTGTCTGGGCAAAGGCATATCTGAGTAAGCAAGAGACAAGGAGGGTGATGGTCCCAAGTAGAGCTGTTGCCCTGCCAGAAGTGCTCAGTCACTAAAGCTAGTCCATGCGAAGCCTTGTACCCTGGTTTGGGGCTGTATGCTCCTGAGGGAATGGGATCCTTCTTGTCATTCTCACAAAGGAGTTGTAAGGCAAGCAGCAGCCCAGGTCCCAGTGAGTTCAGAGGTGGGGGTGTGAGCTTAGAATGGCAACCCCTCCTTCCTCTCCCTAGGCCTGTACCTGGTTATTTGGCATTTTCAGACTGTCTCTATTCTGAGAACAGAGGTGGCCCCTGTCCCTTCTCAGAAAGCTCAAGATTCTGGCAGTGGGCAAGGGGCCCAGACCCAGGCACCTACTAGCCCTCTCCTTCCCTGTCCCCAAGCTTTAGCTATTTGATAATTGGCTACAACCCATTGGCTGAGCCTCTCCAGGGATGAATGGTGTTACTGAGGTCACAAAGATAGGTCGGAGGCAGCAAGAGGCCCAGGTAGCTGCACAAGACTATCTCCTCTCCCTCCACTAACAGCAGGCCCAAAGCTTCAAGACCTTGCCTTAACTTACAGCCTGAGAGTGGATGCCTATTGAGCTGTCCCTTTGGGAAGTGCCATTTGGGTGACTCTGGTCACAGGTGTCCTGAGGAGCTGACAATCACCTGGGGCCGCTAAGTAGGTGGGTCTGTGGGATGCAGCAACAGTATTTGCTGTCTTATGGTCGTTTGCATTTGTCTGTCTTTTCATATTTCCTGTATTACCTCATGAGAGTCTCAGGTCAACCTGTCGACACAGGGCAGGAATTCTCCATGCTATAGCTCAGAAAGCAGAAAGGCTCTTGGATGAGTGAGTGATGGGAGAGGAACTGGGTCTCTCTTGCCTCCACTTGAAGCAAGAAGCCCTTTCTCTTCCCTCCCTTGGCAACAGAAAAATACCATGTAGAAATAAATCTCCCTGATAAATGTGGTGGCTAAGGTAGAAAATTAGGAGGGAAGAGGCTATAAGGGGCTTGGCCCCTTGGGGTGGGGGAAGGACAAGACTAGCCAAAGTTTAGGTGGCTTTGGCCCCAATAGCTTCAAGCTCCAGTGGGGCCGAGAGGGAAGTGTGGGAGCAAGAAACTGTGGCCTTTTAAATCCTACCCTTGGCCTCTCTCATCAGAGGCTTGATGTTGAGGTGGTAGAGGACACATGCATTCTTTAGGTGTTTTAATACTTACTTTTGAATAGGTAATATTCAGTGCATAAGCTGGGCACACCCCAGATGTACAGTGTATCTCCCTCACACTGCTGTCTCTCCCTACCTCAGACTCCTCCCCCAACATGCCTGGTGTCACTAGGGTCTTTGTATGCATCCTGGGTTAGACTATGCATATTTAAGTCTTTACAAAGACTCTACAAACTCCCCCCCCCACACACACTTTTTACCCATATGTTAGCAGCCATAAACTCTGCTCCTTTTTCTGCTTCACGATGTATTTTGAAAATCATTTTATATCAAAAGATAGCTTTATATGCTGCGTTTTTTCCCTTTTGACGGCAGAGTGGTCCACCAAATGGATGCATCATAATCTGCTTAACTAGTCAGTCCCCTCGTGATAGATATTTGGGTTGCTATTACTCATCGAGCTGCAGTGAATATCCTCGTACTTCCTAATTGTGTGAGCATACCTTAGATAAATTCTTAAGAGTAGAAATCCTTTGTCATAGAGTAGCTCTGCTGCCCGTATCCAACATGGAAATTCAAGAGTTTATGGACACAAGTTTATGAACTCACTGTTCAAGCCAAGAACATACCTTGGGAATACATAGGGTTACTGTCCCAGCCTGTCTGAAAGGCTGGGGTTTCTCCTTTGCCTCCCTGTATACTCCTATACCTGTTCCCAGTGCTGATCTGCCCCCCACCCCCCACTCTTGCTGGTCCACCGAGGCCTGTCCTATCCCTCTGGCTTACTGGAGTCTCATGGGGTAGGGATGGAATGAACCCCATACAGGACTCCACGTAGGAACTACTGGATAAGAAAAAGGAAGAACTGTCTGTCTTCTCAGTACCGCCACCCTTCCTATCATTTTGTAATTGTACTTTGGTGGTTGATTTGCTTAAGGCAGGGAAATGCTGTTAGATTCTCAACAATCAAAAATCGACTCGGCATTCTTTGCTTTTATAAACCAAACAACATGATTCAGCTCTTGTTTTTATTATAGTAACCAAAACTATAGAATTAAAGAACATATTTATCTCAAGATCTTTCACTGTCAAGGATTGAAATAATCAGATCAAATCCTCATGTCTAGAACATCTGCTCCAACATGGAAAACTTCATTCTTTGGCTCAATGGTGGTCACTGCAGTGGGATCAAATGTCTAATTCCCACAGCTGTCTCATAGCTACATTATAACGGAATAAAGGAAAAGGAAAGCTCACACTGGAAAGCCCTCCTATTTTGAACAGCCATGTTGCAGTTTTCTCATAATCTTCACCTCCCATACCCACGTGGGCCAGAAATGCAGGTGGGTAGCACTCCATTTAGGCCATCCCCACCACCATTTCTGGTATTGAAAATGTGATCCCTCACTTTCCTCAGCACTCTACCCCCAGGATGGGCTAGGTGTCTTGCCGGTATCCTTTAAACCTCCATCCCATCCCCAGGTAACTGCTATTCTGATTTCTATAGTCATCTAATCACTTCCTTTTTGGCTTTACCATCCATGGATGCTTTCCTTACAATAGCTTGTCCCTTTTTCTTCAATTATTGAAGACCAATGAAGTCCTAAAGCATGTATTTGGGACTTGCTTTTGTTCATTATTATTTTTGAGATATACCCATACTATGCCCACACCCATATTCTGTAAAACTAGATTTTTATTATATCTCTTGTGTGAACAAAGCAATTGTTGGACAGGTGTGCTTCCAATGTGGGTTGTCACACTGTGCCCTACCAAGCCATAATGAAGCTTGAGGCCACAGAAAAAAATCAGTAATACCGATACTGCCTTTACTTCACCACTTCAATACCAGTGTCGACTATAGTCGATAGCCACAGATGAACGCCCACAGCGACTTTGGCTGACAGCTGGTATGACTTTTCTAATTTTTCATTTATCAAAATTGTGAACACTTAAAAATAACATAATGAAAACATTTATGTATATGTTACCTATTCTGATTTACATTACAAGATGCCTGTCAAGTAAAACAAGCTTTCAGTGTTTAGCTTTCCTCGTCACCC